ATGAGGCCTCTAAAGATTTCTTTGGAAGACTGCACTCTCAGAATCTGAGGTTTTAAATGATCAACAGCTTTTTTTTCCTTTTTTTTTTTCCTATTTTTACTGAGTTACACGTCACACCACTTTTCCCTACCCTCGGTTTTTATTCTCTGAATTTTTACTGTCCTTCAGCTATTTCAGTATCATAAATGTTTCCTTATTCAGTATGTTTTATAACGTGCTAACATTAATACTGTTATATGTATTAATATACATAATATTAATAATCACAGGCCTTGATTGCCCAAGCTTGTTAGTTGCAGGTGTTAGCTTTTCTTACTAAACATCTCAGAATTTGGCACAGCTAACACTAACTGTCCAGAGAAAGTCTAGCAGAAGACATTTGATAAGGAAAACTGAACACAACCAAGACTCAGTCAGGAGCACAAGAGGTAGTATTGGAATTGCAAAGCAGAGTATAAGATTATAACTTTACCCTACCTCATTTACAAAGAAATATGTTTGCAAATTAGGTTTCAGAGGCAGTAAAAAAATGAAAAACAGAGACACTGACCCTTTTTTCTAGCCACCGCTGCCCAATCCCTGATAAAGCACTGAACAAAAATTAGGTGAAATAATTATGCAAATAGAGAACTCCAGCAGTTAAAAAAGGTAGTTTGAACAGAGAGGAAAATCCTGCTCCAGAGAGTATATGTGGTTCTAGCCTCCACAGTGCTCACAAAATCCCATGTGGCCAGAAGGTACCCATGATTGCTTGGTGTTTTAACCAATTATGCTAATGCAGCTTGTATAGAACACTTGCCATTGGGCTTCAGGGAGAGAATACCATGCAATGTGCAGTAAAGGATGTTTTTCATTCATCTGGTACTCAAACAGTCTCACTGCACCTGAATATTGAGCCAAAAGTTCAAATTAAACTTTGCTAAAGAGACATGGAATTATAGGTTTGTAGTGAAAGGAAAATTAAAATGAGTCTCTCCAATCCTTTACTGGAGAAAGGAAATGTTTTAATAGGGCTTAATCAATATTTTCTGCCCCCAGTAACACTTAACAGCTATGTAAACAGGTCAAATGAGAGTAAAGCTATTTAATCTGATAAAACTACAGGATCAGGCCCTGAAGTTTAGGCAGCCAAACAGGTCTCTAAAAAATAACTCCACTTACAGTAGTTAAATTGCAGTCATTCCTGAAGACAGTTCATGAATAAAAACACAGCTCTGTAGGAGCAACTGCTAAGAGATGCCTACAAAGATATCTGATGGTCAAGTCTTTGAAGAGTGAAATTTTTACACAGAGAAAGAATAGCTGTTTCCATGAATACCCTCCCACAGTTCTCAACATCTTCTCTTCAAATATGGCAAAGCAATGCCTAGAATAAGTTCTTCAGTAGAGAGGCTAGACTCTAAATCCTGTGAGGAATAACGTCATTAATTTTGTGACATAGTTTGCTAGGGTATTCTCTGTTCCTTTTTAATCTTATATATTTTGGACCATGTTAAATTATTTCAGATATGCTGTGCCTGTGTAATATGTTTTAAACTGAATAGAAGCTCACATAGATTGAGCTTATTAACTGTATAAATGGTAAATATGGGAAGAAACAAACTAATGGGAATTACATTTCAAAAGAGAACTTTCTTCAAAAAAATGTAACAGATTGATTTTGAGTTTATGAACACATCATGAATAACCTGATGAAAGAACGAAAATAGGGTTTGTAGACAGAAAATAACAAAGCAGAAGATTTTGGAAAAAAAGCGGGTTATGCATTGAAATTTCTTCAAATTGACTCTGTAAGACTATGTCTGAAATAATCTAAACAGTTTAATAGCAATAATCCTATTAAACACAATTCAACATGCAGGGATACATACAAGCTCTAACCAGGACTCCCTCTCCACATGAGGCAATACTGACAGTGCTGATGGCCCAAGCCACAGGGTAATCACAGCCAATGGAAGACAGCAAGTTCTAAACTGTCTCTTTTCCACTTACAAGAGTAAGAGAGATGGATGCAGAAAATCATATAGGAAGAATAAGAAAGAGAAAAATGTAGTCCTGTGTACTCAAATAAAATGACCAAGACAGGAAACCTTATAAAGCTTTTTCTCCAGTTGAATGAGAAACCCAGCTGGGTATATTATACGTACAAGAAATAAGGGTATGAGCAAAATGTTGACAAGTGGGTTGATGGAATAAGATTGGATTTCCACAAAGCACTCAGAACAGATGAGTTTTTGGATGAGCTTGCAGAACAGCCTGATCTTTAAAAGCCTTGTCAGAATGCCAAACTGGGATGATCACCCACTGAAAAACAACTTTGCAGGATATGGTACTAAAGACACTGAGAGTAAGATCGTTCCAAAAAAAAAAATAATTCATTAATTTAGCCAGAATAAAGTTAATAATCCATGATGTAAATGTTTCTTTCTTTTGCTAGCTTGACAAAAATTCTAAATTCTCCCCTGTAAAAACCTTACAGTTAGAGGCTGACAGAGATTAGCTTATTTTTCTTCAAAGTCATTAAATAAATAATTAACCAACAATGGCTGGTAAGTTACCTTGACAACAAAGAATTATTAATATGAGGTTGCCCAAAGGAGAATGAGCCAGGGATTTCCAAACTGTGGTGTTAATCAAACTACTTCAAAGCAATGCAGAGACTTGGTGCTTGCAGGCGGTCACTGCCTCTGGTGGATTCATGCAGCCTGACATGGAACTGGGAGCTACTGCAGCCTCTGGCAATAAGGGTAATTTAGTGATGTGCTTCTGTACAGCAAAAGGTCAAAACTATTTTTTAAGCAATAAAAAGGAAACAGAATATTGGAAGTACCTGAATTGCAGGACCATTAATAACATGCCAATCATGAATGGAAATTAATATGAGCTTGTATGCACAAAGGGTGTTTTGGCAAAGCCTATGAAAAAGATGCAGCTACAGAATGCTTCGCATATATCTGCACATGCTAAGAGCATCATATGTTCAATCTGTATAAACTTAAAGATAACACAAGATGTACTGGGGGCAGCTAATTTGAGGGATCTCACATGTGCCCTTCACCCTTCATAATATTTCATTCCAGTATGGCTGAACATGACAGTCATGGTATCAACTTCCAAAAGGTAAACTTTATACCTTCCACACTTCTTTATATCTCTCTCATTTTTAAGTTCATAGAGAAGTAACTAAAGGGCAAAGCATAACATTACTGTTCCATTCTCTTAAAGACAGTTTCTAAGCTAGTATATTATTTCTGGAAGGTAAGAACTGAGAAAGTTTTGCTTCTCCAAACCCATATTTGGGAATCGGCAGGAAAAGGGTCCTTCCCAAAGGGCCCTTGTCAGTGAAATTTAGTAATAGGGCCCAAGGCTGTTCACGCTAGAAAAACAGTTACTGTTTTAGCAAATAAGAGCTTGCTGAGAGGGCAAGGGATCTCAGAGCCCTTCAGAAGAGACTCTGAATTAGATTATGCATAAACCAGCATAGACAACAAAACGCAAAATCCTGCTGCTCCCCAATGAGTGATTTGTTGGTGCAGGACAGTGTGCAGGATAGTTAATTTTTTTATCATACTGGAAATTGTCTTAATCGTCCAAAATTGCCCTGTTCTCATTACAGCATACCACAGACAAAGATCAAAAGTGTCTTTTCTTCCTTAGCCAAAACAAGGCATAGACTTTCCCCTGTGCAGAAAAATAGACCAGTACTCAGAACTACAGTGCATACAACTGGAATTTCCCAAACTTTGCCATAGCTATGACAGAATCTGTGTTGCAAGAGGTTGTCTTCAAGAAGGAAACATCCCTATCCATCTCTTAGAGGATTTCAATCAGTAGTTACAACATTTTAATACAGCATAAATAAGTAAAACAAAGATCCCCATCCATGTTCCTTGGGGATTCCTGACCTACCCACTTTTCCTGAGAATCTCCCTACTTTTTGTTTTCCGTAAGCCTCACACCTTGCTCTTCAGAAACTCTTCCAAGCCTGCATGAGTTCCCTCTGTAAGGACCTCTCACTCCACACTGCCTTCCTGACCAAGCTGCAGCAGTCCAGACTGCCAACAAGCTAAACAAGCCCATTCCAGTCTTACAATACCCACTCTTGCCAGCTCGGAGCTTCAGCCACTTGTATCCTCAGTCTATCTCAGGTTAAGACTAAATCTGCAATAAAAGGGTTATAATGAAGATTATATTTTGAGTCTCTCTAAAGTTTTCAGTTTTAGCTAACAGCTTCAACAGTGATACAAATGAGATTCTTAACTGTGTCTAAAGTAAATCAGAAACACGTGGAGAGCCATCATAAGCCCAAAACCTATGGTTCTAAATTATTGAACTATCTTTGGAAATAGAACCTAAAATTACATTTAAATTACTGCAGAAAAATTCTGATATCTGTGATAATATGCCAAGAAATTTTGAGATGTTGCTTATACCAGAGTCAAATCTGTTAGCAAAATCTGGAACTTGATCTAGTAGTGCATATTTTACACGCTCTAACAATTATCAGCTGCTTGAGATTTCTGAGACTATTGAAATGGGACAGATTGAATACATCAGCTGGATTCAGTCCATTTAACCAAGTATGAAATGCTGCACAGCCCAATACCTATCAGAGTTCTGTCATCCTCCCAGATGAACTTTTTCACAACAGATGTCTAATAGGCATAAATATAACAAGCATGCAGTAACTCCACAAGCCTATGATAGCACAAGCTTTTATTTTTTTCACACAAAAGATTCTTAAGGGAATGAAATACACAATATCAGCTCTGAATCAGCACAACCACTTGCTAGCACTTCCTGGACATAACATCACATCTAAAGCACTCAATCTTGGGAAATAAAAAAAAAATAATTAAGTCAGGAAAAGTTGACCAAAGATCACATGCTCAGATTTATCTGTAATCATTTTATTCTTCCTCTGATGTAATATAGTCACAGAAAAACTCTCTCATGTTGAATTCCTAAGATGGACTTTTTTGCTGGGCACAGATACTGACCTGCAGCATTTGAAGATAGCCTTCTTGTGGGTCACACAGCAGCGATGATATTCGGTGATTGTTCCTCATGCATCTCTGATTGTTGTCCCTTGAGAGAGGGAAAATTTGCCGGATAACTGTCATCCTCCCCAGAGCACTATGCACCAACTCTAATATTTCATTATCAGTGATTTCCTGTGAAGGGAGACAAAGTTTTTTTTTTTAAAATCATGTATTTGTCCAGACATTTTATATATTCTTTTCGTTATTGGATATTTTTAAAAAGACAATAGAAGAAAAAAGTTACAGATGCACATGCTTTGTCTATGCCAAATGTCCTTATGGTATCATTTTATACATCATCTGAAACAAAAGAAAACAGCTTAACACAGTACCATCTATCTTGGCAATAATAACACACTGCATACCTAGTTCCTCATTTAAAAAAAGGTTGTCCCAATAGGCTTCCAAGTTAAAAACAGCCTTGAAAATAAGTTTATATAGAAAAGTTTTGGTTTAACAGAACAGAACCTCACTACATGCTCAGAACAAAATGACAAATGGAAAACGTAACTACCTTTAGGAAATACATCCCCTACACCTGAGAACAATATTACAAGCAAGTACTTTTCCCATAAGGAAAGTAGATAATTTCTACAGACTAATCCTGATAATGACTCAAGGAAGTCTTTTGAGGTTATCTGTATTAGGAAATGAAAAAAAGGAGAAACTTCATGGAAGGGATTAGCACATTTAGAAATGCAAGTTTCTGCACCAAGAATAATTTTGGATAAGATATAAGGAGATCTCAAGGACAGGCTGCTTTTCTTTCCAGTCTCTGCACTGTCTAAAGCTTCTTTGCAGACCTTTCCATATCCCAGACTCCTAATCTATCTAGGGAGACAGCCTGCATCTACTGCCCTTACATTGCAACCGAAATCAAGTCAACTATGTGCTCTATATATCTTGAAAAGGCCACAAAACCAGAACCTCTTGTTTCACACCACAGTAAATAATTTGAAAATCATGGGCTTAGCTGATCCTGAAATCGTAACAGTGGTAGAGCTTATGATGGTTATTTCCTGCCAAGAGTTCACTGTGGAGAAGGACAGGCAGTGGCACCACTGACTGTATTTGTTCCCACAGGTGCCTCCTCCACAGAGAGCATCTTTACATCCCAGCTCCTTACCACTGCCACCAGCAGCATCTACAAGTCACATCAGCACATCTCCAGTGTACGTTGGCTGCACTGGCTGCACAGCTGGGCCAATTCATTCTCCAGCCTGCACAGGACTGCTCTCAGTCCGTTGCAGGGTAGAGGGGGCTACAAATAATGAATGTGGCTGTACTTGGTCAACAGGGCTCACACCTTCCAATGTGTCAACCACAGAAGTGACCCTGGCCCTACACTTTAAACATTCAAGAAAAAACAATAAATGTTTTCTTGCCATTTTCTCTGTCAAGCTGTGAGTGAAATGACCACGGAGTTATTATAATTGTTACAGTTGACTAGTACTGTAGCTTTGGCTCACTTTAGTTCTTTGCCGATTTCCCATCAATTTTAGGAACATGAATTTTTAACTTTGCAGAAGGTGAAATTCATTGCATTAACAACAGACCAACTGGTGTGGCATGAAAACAGAAAATAAATATATCCTTATAGAAGCCAAAGATTTTGAGGCTTAATAGAAAATGCTGGGAGGCATCTGTAGCCTTGCGAGAAGTCACCGAAGCAGACCCACAGACCCTCTAGACTGTTGCCTTGGATTTCTTTCTGAGGGACTGAAGGGTATTAAAGCCACCCAGTGTGTCTAAGCTGCAGTCTGAAGGAAAAACAATTTTATGGGATAGCTTTAAGTCATAACCTCTTAGGCTGCATCCCTTGGCAGGCAAATTCAGACTGAGTGGTTTCAAACAGAAAAAAGAAAAGATCACGAATCATCCAAACCTTCAGCTCACCTCACACCACACATTTTGTGTCCTCCACAAGTGGTGCGCAGCCTTTCAAAGACATATCATAACCTGTGTGAAAAGGCTTGACCTGAAACTTGTAAGCCTATATGTGCTTCTTCCTTGAAGTAAGGTAGTGGAGGAGGACAGCTGTGTTAGACACATTAACCCTGGCTCTTCCCACTTAGCTACAGGCACCAAGTGAGTCCTGAGTGTCAAACCCTAGTTACTATACAGCCGGAGAAGAAAAATGGGAGCCTCTAGAAGGAAATTCAGAACCTAAATTGGGCTAAATCTAACTCTGAAAGTGACACCTTTTTCCGTGTAGACAGCTTACAGTAGTTAAATCTTTCAACACCCCAATTCAGTATATAATGCCAAAGGCAGCAAAGCTCCTGTTTTTTTCCAGCTGATGGACATTCATACCAACAAATTATCCATTCCTTTTAGAAATTAGATTCCTTTTTACAAATGTAAAAGCATAGGAAAAAAAAAAGTTCTTCGAAGAGATAAGATCAAAAGGTCATTTTTTAAACTGGTGCTCTAAAACCCTAAGCTAACTACAGGCCTTTCCATGCCAGTTCACGAGGTGGTACAGCCACAGGCAGCATCACAGGGCACCTGTGGAAGGTCCAGGAGCAGAAAAGCATGGCTGAGTGTCTGAAATGCAGGTCACCACCATCCCGCACAAGAGCAGCCCAGCTACAGCTTCCCTGGCCTGGGGAGTGCACCCCTTTCTCTTGCCTGGCACTGTCAGTCCCTGCAGACTTGCTTCCAGAAAGCTCACAGTCATAGAATCAGAATAGTTAGGGTTGGAAAGGACCTTAACATCATTTAGTTCCAACCCCCCTGCCATGGGCAGGGACACCACACTAAACCATGTCACCCAAGGCTTTGTCCAACATTGCCTTGAGCACTGCCAAACACAGTCCTGGCTTAGCAGCACATGAAACCTTAAATGGCACACAGAGAAATGTCACCTGCATTCTGACTGTGATAAATATGGGGGGAGGGGGGGTTGGGGAGAGCAGGAAACCAAAACACTAACCCACAAAAACCAAACAAGGCTATGTGAAGCTGGCTCTTACTTTTACACCCCTCAGAATAACAGCATATATCCAAAAAACAGTTCTTGGAGCCACAAGGGAAAAAACATTTCACACTGATCTTACAATTAAAGTCTATTCATCTAGTTATATTTTTTAAAGTAAAGCATTTTCATTCCTACACATTATATAAAAACATTCTTTACACTGTGAAACTGACAACTAAGTAAATAATTTAATTTTGTCCAAGAGGGTTTTGGTTTGGGGTTTTTTTTTCCAAACAAACATACCCCAAATTTCCAATCCTGTCCTTGGATCATTACACAGCACAAGACTGCACACAGTAATTGCCATTGACACCATGTGTGAATGCTGTATTCTAAGCAGAGCTTATCAGCTGGTATGGCCAGGCTAGCACTTCTTTCAAAATTCCCTATCACATGCCCTCCTTTTGGCTTTCAGGATCACATGATGTTGCTACTGCAATGTAGGGTAAATTTTGACTTAATATAGATAGTGGCTTCTGCTTATTTCAGCAACATGCTTTAAGGAAGGCTAAAGAGCCTAACTCTATTGCTTTGCACCTTTAATAGCAGTTCGCACTCAGATCTGTAAGTATTGAATTTCTTGAAAGAGGTTGGAGGAAGAGAACTTTACCCAGGAATGAAAGAGGTTTTCTTACTTAAGTTCTGTTAGTCTGGATTTTTCCTTTACTAAGGGAAAGAATTTAGCTATTCCCAATGTTTTAGGGAGCGCTTAAATATTTTGGTAGGTAGACATAAGTGCAAGACTGACTACTATTCACTCAGGCTAATAGTAGTTCTCACTACTTGATTCAACACTGAAGGGGTATTCCTTTAAACACTATTTTTTGTTCATGTGGCTTACTAAGGGCAAAGATTACTCTTCAAGAAGTTGTGGTATTCATTTATCTATTTAAGTGCACACAGATATTGGTCATTTGGGGAATTCATTTATCTATTTATTTATCTGTACACAAAGAACTTCAGTTAGCTTGCAATATCTAGCCATATTGATCAGGGGAATATTTAAATCTGCTCTAGTTGTGCTCAACCATCATAACACAAATTGCAAAATGAGGCAATTATGTTTCACAATACAATCTCTATGTTTCTAGAGGTAATGACAGAAAATTATAAGTTTTACTGGCATTAATCATTTAAAGAACCAAAACAGATTTCGAGAAAGTATATCCATGAGAAAACTGGAAGATTAAACTGAATGGAAATGAAGACAAGGATGCTCACGGAGACAAGCTACAAATTTATGTGGAATTTTTGCATTAGGATCAATAGTGTTTGTTGGGTTATTCTAGTTCCCCTCAATGCACTATGTACATCTATTAAGGGGAAGTTGTTAATTTCCTGAAAATCCAGAAAACATCCTTCAATTAGTTGTTTTTTTTTTTTTAAATATTAGTGACAGCTTACCATGGATAAATGTATTCAACTTTAACATTACGCCGGCTTTACAGATGCGCCCCCCCCCCCCCCTCCCCCATATGTATAAAGGTTAATCCTTTAAGGCAAGAGTACAATCCATTTTTCATAGCACAGAAAAAATTCTAATAAAAGTCTGCATGACCACCTGTCCAACTCCCATCCTCATCTTCCTCCCACACGTCCAACACTACCTCACTTCTCTTCCTTTTACCTGATATTCCTAAAAATCTCTACAGGGATGTATTTATAATTTAATTGAATTAGCTCTGTTTCTAGATATAAGGACTCTGTACTGGGTCTCCAAAAGTCTTTCTCAGATAGTAGTGACTGCCTATACAGTAAAAGATCCTCTGATTTATCAAAATATTATTCCATACTAAAAGTAACTATCACACAAATAAAATTAAAAAAAAAAGAAGAAAAGCACATGAAATGATAGTTATGAAAAGCTGCACAAAACAAACAAAAAAGCCCAACAAAACACCAGTAACTTTAATGTGGATTTCACTGATAAAACATATCATCAAAGCTTAATTAACCTTGCTCCTGGCTGACTGACACTGTTTCTGTGTAATTCATTTAGACAGTAAGGAACTAATGTAATGAAATTTTCACTAGTTCACTACTCCCATGGCTCCAGTTTGAGAATTGAAAGTTAATATTCCTTAAATTTCATATTTGTTATTTCATATGGTACAGAATGTTGTTAAAAAAAACAAACAGGGTAATAAATAAT